TGTTTGGTTTTCGGTAAGGATATCTGTGTCAAACAATTCAAACCCCACTCCCCTGAGTCCTCTAAATCTACTCAGATGTGATGGGTTTCCCTCTCGGATAGAACATGGCTCTCCCGCACCCCCTCATGTGGCTTCCCATCAATACCTAGCTCTCACGAGCCCGTCCCACTGGACCCTCAGACCATCCCATCTCCCCAGGGGCTGGCCCACACCTCTGCCTCCCAGAGCCCACCGTGCAGAGGGGCCCCCATGGGGCTCAGTCTCTCCCTGGGCTCCCTTCTCCGTAGGCCTGCCCTGTGGGGAGCCTTAGCCTTGAACTTGCAAATGGGCCCAAGTGTTGGGATAGATGTACATGGAGAGGGGATAGGTCCAGAGTGGTGAAAAAGCTGCCTTTTTTTATCCTTCTTAGTTAAAAAAAAATCTTAACTTTTTTTTATTATAGAAGTGATAAAAACCTACGATGAATGCATTACAGAAACTGATATGCCACATATCATAGCTCAGCCTGGCCTACCATAAACACGCTCAGAACACTGACATTAGCCTGTAGTTGGGCAAAATCACCTAACACAGTGAGCACACTGCAGGGTATCGGCTGTTTACCCTTGTGATCATGTGCACGGCTAACAGGGAGCTGTGGCTGCCGCTGCCCAGTGTCACAGGGAAGTACTGTACAGCTTGTCACCAGCCCGAGAAAAGATCCAATTGCAAAAATCTGAAGTACGGTTTCACCTGACTGCTTATTGCTCTGGCACTACCTTAAAGTGAAAGTGGAGCCATCCTAAGTCCCTGTCTGTACACCATGTCATTGTTGGGATGTGCTCCACCTTATGTATTCCCCAAGGATGTACACTGAGGTCATTTGCAGTCTTCCCCTGTTATAAATAATGCTTCAATAAATAGCTCCTATCTACATCTTTGCTCACCTATGCACTGTCTCTTAGATAAACTCCTGGGCATGGACTTTTGGGTCAAAGCATGTGCTTGCTGTGAAATGTAACAGATTTTGCCCAACTGCTATTAACAAAAGAGATACCCACTTATATCACCCCAAAGCCCACATCTTTCTTATGCCAGTTCAGCTACGCTGTCCTGGGACACTTCCTCTCTTCTGGGTCTCGGAGTTGAGGATGTCCTAACCTGGCCCCCTGGAGGCGCTGTGCAAAACCTTCTGCTCCCTGCTGCTGCCACCTCTCATCCAAATTACCCTCACCCCTGTGTAAGATGAAAATCTCTCCCCATCACCTCTTATTTAATCCTGCCTCATGGGGCAGGAAGGAAAAATATATCAGCACCATCTGGGATGTGAGGGCCTGTGAGGTCAAGCAATTGGCCCAGGGTCCCCAGATGGATGGAAAGCGGATATGAGAAGCCAGTGTCCTGCCTTCTCATTGAGCACCTTTCCTGACACGACCCAAGACGGTGATGTAAGTCTGAGAAGAGCAGGGGAAAGGAAGTTCTATCAGATAGGAATTAATTCCACTAACAGTTATTTAAAACACCTGTTATAGGCGAGACACTGGGGTATAAAGATGTGACAAGATCCGCTCCCTGCCGCTAAGGAGCTCCGGGTCCCATGGGGAAGAAGGCCAACCCTTGGGTCACGTCAGGACGAGGTATCTGAAGCCACGCTGGGAGTGACGCTGGGCCGGCCTCAATCAGCACGGGTAGGGCTGAGCAGAGGCCCGCGACAGGAGCTGAGCCCAGGAGGATGAGGGCTGGCTGGCTAGACTGAGGAAAGGCGTTTCAGGAAGAGTGACAGCGTGTACCTCTGGAGGCGGGCCTGTGGCCTGTGAGCAGTCCTGTTTGGATGGGGGAGGTGGGCATCTATGGTTTGCTTTGCTCCACATTTATTCCCCCTTCTGCATACAGCGACGAGACTTTCCTTTGTGAAGCCAGCCCATGCCCATCTTCCTGGTTCCAGGACGGACATGTGACTGCAGCTGACCAATGAGAACACTGCTCGGGGATAGGCAAGGGACAAGCAGGCCAATGAGACACAACTTGGGGACTTGCATAGGAACAACGGGTGAGAAAAACTCTCCAATGGGCTGCTGAGTATTTCCACAGAGGGAAAGCCTGCCTAAGCAGGAAGCCAACCCACATGAAAGCAGAGCCAAGGGACTGAGAGGGACAGAGACTGAATGAGACGAGTTAGTCCCCGGATCCAGTGAGGCCTGGAGGGTCTATCTTGGAATTTCAGTTGTGTGGGCCAATCGGTTCCAATTTTTTGCTTAAAACATGTTGACTAGGATTTTGGCCACCTGTAACTAAGAGTCCAGAAGAACACAAGGGGCAAGAGGACAAGGGGGAGGGTGGAGAGATGAGCAGGGCCAGCTCACAGACTTAGGTGTCAGCCAGGCTGTGGAGTTAAACATTGTTCAGCCACCATAACCGGGAAGATCCTAACCGCTAAGCAGAACGTTGATAGTGCCTTTTGGGACAAAAATTTCTGCTGGCTAAGAGAGAAAGAATGAGAAAGAGGGGGCGGGGGGAAAGTGTCAATGACTCTTCTAGAAATTTCAGAGCCTTTAGGACATCTTTTCTGGGGTTTTCCCATCCGGATAGATGGCCTAGTCTGAAATTGGAGCCTCATTATTAATCCATTGGTGCTGATGGCATGTATCAATTTATCTTAATTTCTGAAAATACACTCAGCTTTTCAGACCAGTCTCTTTCCTCTGTTACTGAGAAGAAAAATCAGAGGGAATTTGGCCCTCCGTAAATGCCCCACTCTGGCTGAACTAGAACACCTGGCATTTCAGAGAGGCGTTGCCAGCAGATGAGTGAGCTGTCCTGTCCCCTCAGCGCTGTGACAGGCTGTCCACAGGGGCCTCGGAGACAATGTGGTAGCAGATGGGCTGTTACGGGCTCTGGGAACGCACGTTCTCAAAGCCAGGAGAGAGGGGGCTGAGCGAGACAAGTCTGCCTTTCAGGCCGGGAGCCTCCTCATTGTATGCTCTTCTTTCCCCTCGAGAGTGAAGGGCATAATTGGATCAAATGGAAGCAAGAACCAGCCTCATTACCCCTCCCAGATGAGAGGCTTCCAAAATGGCTTCATTACTAAGTTTTTTGTAAATAAACTGTGGAGGAAAGGCCATTTGTAGTGCTGTGACTGCCTGATGAGCATCATTAGATGGGTCTTTAAAAAATACACAGAATGAAATCACTTTGGGTTTAGGAACTGCATTGTGCAAATCTTTCTCCATTCACTGTTCTCCATGTAGTGTGAGTTTCTGAAGGGGCGCTTCTTGAGCAGGGAGGCTGGTTCTGGCCGGCGACACCCTTGCTCTGACTATTAAACCAACAAATATTTATTAAGTTTCTTCTCTGTGTCAGACAGCCCTTCTGGTACTTGGGATACAGCAATAAGTGAAATACACAAAGATCCCTACCCTAATGAAGTTTACATTCTGGTGAGAACTCAGAACACAGATGTGCCCGTTTCTGGAAACAAACTTGGCAGCAAACTGCATGCATCAATTTGTTTAGTTGATGACTGAGGAACCGTGAAGTTAGAACTCTTCTGATTCCTTGTGTGTGATTTCACTGTACCCATAAGGATGTGCCATTTGGAAAACTAGATTGCATGGGCAAGGGTCACTAAGTAAATGACGCACGGCACATATACCACCACTCACTAAACCTGCACCCGTGGCAGACATCGCTCATCAGTCACCGCTCTTGTTCTGATTAGCAGAGCCGCGGCCTCGGAATACATATCAACACATAGCTGGAGCAGCCCTTACCGACGGACCAGCGTTATCTGGGCAAGGAAACCTAGGTGCTGTTTCTGACTTAGGCTGCTATTAATTCAGTTCACTGAGAGGCTGCAGAATATTCCAGTAAATTAAGAATAATACCAGGAGGAGGCAAATACTGAGAAGAAAAGGTGAGAGATTGCAGTCCATTTCTCAGGCTGGGTTTTCCCAAGTGCTCTTCTCGGATGCCCCTGCCGAGGCCCCGCAGAATACGGCAGGTCAGGGCACGGGCCCTGCAGCCGGCAGACCCGGGTCCAGGGCCTGGTTCCGTGGCTTCCAACTGCGGGGCCCTCGGCTGGCGCCCCACATGCCCCCCTGGGCGATGGGTATAATACTGATAACGCCCCACTAGGGCGGGGGCGAGGATTGCATATGCCGACACGTGTGCAGGGCGTGGCCCAGGCCCTGTGGGCAACCCAGGTGTGGCGCACCAGGGCGGTCGCACGGCTGTTTACAGCTGGCACCTGCGCCCACTGCTGGTGCTCGTGTCCTCAGAGCTGTTAAATATTTTCAGTGTCACCCCTGGGTACTAACATCAGTTTTATTTAGGGGGCTGGTCCCCTTTCGGGAGATGATTTCAGAACTCCGGAGGTGGAACGGACACATTACCATCGCTGCTCATGTTCCCCAGTTCTGAGCTGCTCCACCAGCGATGACAGGGGCGGTGAGGGTAATGGAAATAACTTTTTATGTTCTCTATTGAGAAGCATCTAACAAGCACGGTCCCATTTAATCCTCTCAACATCCCTGCGAGGATTAAAGTGCCACTAAACCCATTCTATGGAAGCAGAAAGTGAAGCTCAGCGGGGCGAGCATTCCTTGCCCAGGATCACACAGCTGGTAGGAAGTGGCAGAGCTAGGACCTGACTTAGGCAATCTGACCCCGGCACTGACTGTCAGCTGCTGTGTGTGACAACGGTCCTTTGCGTTAAAAAAATGATGTCTGATTCAGCTGTGTGTTCACAGGGCTTGGCCCAGTAACAGCCGCAGGTCAGCCCTCGTGAGCTGGGGATGTGAGAACCAATCCTCTGCTGACTGCGGGGGCACAGGACAGGCCAACCTTCCCCTCGGAGGGGCCTGTTCTTCACCTGAGATACACACAGGGTCCTGCAAATGAAGGGAGAATGTGACTTCTTCACCTTAGGAGCCCCGAGGCCTCCAGCCTTTCCAGGCTCAGAAAGGCACCAGCGGGCAGCCGGCTGGGACAGGGGCCGAGGAGGCTTCCGGAGAGCGGCTCACCTTGAATGAGATTTCATACTGCTCGCCTCCCCAGATCTCCAGGCCTGGGTCGTACCCGCCCAGCTCCCAGAACCACTTCCGATCCACGGCGAAGAGTCCACCGGCCATCACGGGAGACCTGGCAGGGAAGGAGAGCGTGCTGTGAAGACGGGGACCCGATGGCCAGTGCTCCGAGGGCACTCTGCTCCCGCTGCTCCCCTGGGGTGGTGCCCTCTGCTGCTCCAGGAACGCAGCCCCCGGGTCTCGCAGGGAATCCAAGGCCCTTCTGAGAGAGGGCCCCGGCTTTTTCCTTCCTTACCTGCACTTCCCTTCATAAAGGCTACATCTTAACCAAGTGGGCCCAAAAGTCCTTATGTGGTTACCACTAAAGATTGTTGTGAAACGAAATCACAGTACTTTCGCCCATGGGCCTTGCAGCTGCATCACGTGTCTCTCTCCAGTCCTCCCGCTATATGGATGGTCTGGACCAGGCCTTCCCAGGCCTGACTGGGCTGCAGAATGTCTTAGAGGTGAGAAACTGACAGCTCCCTGGACCCTTCCCCAGCCCCACAAAACAGCACCTGGGGGCGGACGTCTAGGAACCTGCGCTTTCGCACATGCTGCCCTGAGGATTCTGTCAGTGCGGCTCAGGCGGTTGTTCCGCTGAGAGCTGATAGGAGCCACAATCTGATCTTTCAGTTAAACGGGGCTAAGGTGAGCGCCACTCCTTCGTTCTCTCGGTTTACTCACTGAGTGCCAGCTGGGAAGCAGACACAGGAGGGAGAGAGAGGGAAATCAGAGCTGGGCTGGGGCTTCGGGGGGTGCCGGGGTGCCAGGGTGGCTTCCTCAGGATGGAGGGATCCAGAGACGACAGGTGGGGTGCAATAAGGGCCTCCCGGGGGTGCAGACAGCACTACAGGAGCGGGAAAGGAGGGACTACCTGCCTCGGGGTCTTGGGGGTGAGGAGGAGGCTGAGGGCAGACCAAGGAAGGATGCTCAGAGGGCATGGCATCTGCGGTGGGTTTGGATACGTGGGGACTTGGGGGAGGGGAAGGCACTCAGGAGAAAATGTTAGGAGGAAAGGTACAGAGATGATAAATTTTGGGGTGCCATGGGGAGGGAGCAGGGGATCAGCACGGCATCGTGCCAGGCCCGTGGGGACACCTGCTGTGACCTGCTCCAGTCTCCGATGGCGCCTCACTCAGGGCCAGCATCTGGGAGGGCCAACAGTGTGTGCTGTGTGCAAACCTCTCAGAGTGGCCGTGTCCCTGTCTGGCTCCACAGGCAAACCCCAACCTTCAAACCAAAAAAGCATTGCAGCAGTGCCCTCCACGTCCCCTCTGGGCCCCGGGAACTGCAAGCTGACAGCGAGTGGACTGAACGAAAAATCATGCACGCATCCCAAGCTTCCCGTGCCCCAACAGAGCCGGAGGGGACTCCTTTCAAAGGGGATCCCGCGGGCTATTCGCTGAAAGCTTAGATATCCCAGGGGCATACCGAACTAATTTATTAATGAAACAACCTCATTCCTCGCATTGACCTCACAAGGTACACCCCATCATTACCATCCAATTTAACGCATGTAGAAACCAGGGAACAGACAGGTACCTCGCTCAAGGCCTCACAGCTACTGGGCAGGATTGAAACCTCTAACCCATGCTGCGGCCCGCACCCGTCACGGTCACGGCACACTGCCTCCTGCCGGGAAGGAACGCTCAAGGAGCCGGTGACGAGTGAAAGGACAGGGGATCAGAAATGGGGGGACCCTCACCGCGGCCTCAGCTCCCCTTAACCTGCGGTGTGACCTGCGATGAAGGGTTTAACCACTGAGCCCCCTGCTGCCCGCGACAGCGGCCACTGGCCACGGGTGGCTGCCGAGCCCTGGGAGCGGGGCTGGCGGGTCCGAGGAGCGCCGGAGCGTAAGGCGCACGGCGGGCTTCTGCGACTGAGGGTGGAGACAGGCGCAAAAGAGACCTCGTGAGTAATTTCAAAGGTTGGTTACTTGCTGAAATGAGAGCATTTTAGATACTCTGGGTTAGATGAAGTATATTACCAAAATAAATTCCACCTGCTTCTCTTCAGCTTTTTAAAAAGCATTTTGTCATTTATTTATTTATTATTTTTTACTGTATTTTTTCCCATTACCGTTTAACGCTCCTCCCCCGCCCCACCATCATCACACTGTTGTCCACGTTCACGAGTTCTTTTTCCTTTTTGCTCGAGTCCTCCACCTCCTAACCTCCCCCCAGCCCGCCCCGCTCCACCGCAATAGCTGTCATCCTCCTCTCCATCTATGAGTCTGTCTCTATTTTGCTTCTCTTCAGCTTTTTTAAATGGGTACTTAGAACTTTAAAAGTACATAGGACTTGCATTATATTTCTGCTGGACGGTGCTAAGTTAACCTCTTTGAGCCTGCACTGAGCTCTACACAGTGGGCCTATAGTGACACTTGCTAGCTCATCTTGCTAGGATATTTCTGAAAGTATCCAGGACTATGAGAAAATAAGGAGTCAACGGTATCAGCTCTCCTTTGTCTTCTGAAGGTTGTGGGGTTTGGGTTTTCTGGCTGGAGCCTTAAATACGTTGCTTGGAGGGGCACAGCGATCTGACTCTGCGCTTCATGAGAAAGCAAACCCAAGACTCTGTACACAAAAATCAGCCTGGGCGGACGCCAGGGGCAGGGGCTGAGGAGCTGCCTTCTTGGGAGCTGCCTCACACAGGTAGGCTGCTGGCCTTAAGGTGTTTTGGATGCCCGAGGCTTTGACTCCAGAGGGAGGCCTCTCCTCCAGCCTGGTCTATTTCCTGCGTTTCAGCAGTAACACCAACAATTCTGAGTTCTAGTGTGTGCCACTCACTTCACTGACATTATCTTCAACTCTCACAATGCCCTATTACTAGTCCTCTTTTCAGATGGAGGAATTTGAAATTCAGAAATGCTACATACTCTGCTCAAGGGCACGCAGTTAGTAAGCGGATGAGCTGCGATTCAAACCAGGCCGGCCGCCACAGCCCAAGTTTCTCAACTGTCTTCACACCGCACTGTGCCTACTGATCACCCTGTGCTGGCTCTGTGGGGGGCGTGGGAAATAGCAGGATTTCTCAGGTGGCCCCTCCCCTTGGTTTTGTCCAGGTGCAATACAGAAGAGAGACTTCTGGAAGGAATGGGAGGATACAAAGGAGGGAGAGACCCTCACAAAGCATCTAGGCCAGTGGCTCTCAACCTTGGCCACACACCAGTATCAGCTGGGAGCTTCAAAAAATAATGATGTCCAGATCTCACCCCCAGACTCCGGCATCATTGGTCTAGGGGGTGCCCTGGGGTGGGCTTTTTGGTTTGTTTTTTGATAAACTCCGCATGTGAGGTCAATCGGGACCCAGGGTGGAGTGTGGCTGCCCCAGGGGCGGGCCGCCCCTGCACCACGCAAACGAGGAGGCAGAGGCCCTGGAGGAAACCAGCTGGGCCTCTGCTACTACCCAGCTGGGCCACCTGAGAGTGCCCTTCCCTCATCCTGCAGGGAGGACGATGCGGGCCCAGATGTACCTTACGTTCCTTTCAAATCTTAGGGCCTGTGAATCAGCTCAAGGCAACGGGTTAAACCCTCCAGGGGGTTCTGGTTCCTTTGAAAACCCCAATTTTCTGGGGCAGCCCATTCTGGCCTCAACCTCTACTATGTGTCCTCTTGGGCAAGTGCCGTTCCCTCTCAGCACTGGCTAGGAAGGGCTCTCCCAGTGTGTTGGACCACGTGGAGGATACAGGAGCTCAAGAGGAGAACACACATCTGACCTACCAGGGGCACGGAAGCTCCACTCATGCTCCCCACTCTCAGCTCACGCTACTCCATCGCCCCAGCCACCTTCCATTCCCTCAGGGAAGCCCCCCTGAGCCTGTGCTGGGGCCCACCGCGCTGGGGGCCCCTTTAAGAACCCTGGGTGTGCACTGCGCCCGTGAAGATGGCTCAGCTGCCAACAAGCCCCTTTCTCAGGTGGGGAGGGTGGGGGGCACACAGAAGCTGGGGTTCACTGGGAGGTTTGGTAGACAGAGTAATGCTCCCCCCAAAAAGTCAATGTCCTAATTCCTGGAACCGGTGAATGTGTTACCTAACACAGCAAAGGGACTTTCCAAATGGGATTAAGGTCCTCGAGATGGGGAGAGTACCTGGTAGGCCCAATGCAATCACCAGGGGCCTTATAAGTGAAAGCAGGAGGCAGAGTCAGAGAAGTGGGTGTGATGATGGAATGATGGAAGCAGGGGGCGGGGGGATGGGGGAGGGATGGGGAAGGGGGCAGAGAGAGAGACAGAGACAGAGAGAGGGAGGGAATGGGAAGGAGAGATATGGGAGGATGGGGAAAGACTGGGAGGTTTGAAGCTGCCATGCTCCTTGCTGGCTCTGAAGATGAAGGAAGGGGCTGCGAGTCCAAGAATGCGAGCAGCCTCCCGAAGCTGGAAAAAGCGTGGAAATGGACTCTCGTCTGGAGCATCCAGAGGGAGTTAGCCCTGCTGACACTGTGATTTTAGGCCAGTAAGAATCATTTCAGACGTCTGACCTCCAGGATCTTAAAAGAATAAATTTGTGGCTTTTTTTGGAAGCCAGTAAGTTTGTGGTAATTTATTGCTGCAGCAATTAGGAAACTAATCCAGCAGGAGAGCCTTGTACCCAAAGATCTCCTCCACGCCTCCAGCAGGAGAGCCATTATGGCTCATGTGGCAGCTGCAGGATAGGGGGACCACAGTGCAAGGAAAGACTCTTCCGTATCTTCAAGTACCGGGGGACGGGGGGAGACTGAGCTCTGTTTCTCCTCAGCCACTCGCTCACTGTGCACTGTGGTGGGGGTGGGGGAGCTCAGACTCCCCCTCTGTAAGAGGTTGGAGTCCAGGGCCTGTAGGTTCCTTCTAGCTTCCACATTCGAGATGCTATGAGTCCGGCCCACATCCCTCAAACTTCCGCCTGAGGAAGTTCGGCAGGGATGAGCTGTTGTTTCCCTACCATTTCCACTAAGGTGTAATAGAATGATGGGAAACTTGGCTCCCGGGGCAAACAGACCTGCACGTGTATCCAGCCTTCGCCACCTCAACACTGTGTGACCTAGGCAAGTTGCCAGACCTCTTGAACCTTAGTGTCCATGTTGGAAAATATGCATAATAATTTAAATAACAACTGAGAGGATTAAAAACAATCAGGTTGTAATGTGCTCAGCACACGGCACCTGGCACTTAGAAAGTGTTCAGTAAGTGGTGGTGGTGGGGATGATGATGATGATGATGATGATGGTGATGATGGTGATTACAACTGGGTGCCAGGCTTGAGGTGGGCAAGGAAGAAGTGACCAGCTTGGCGGTCCATGAGCTGAGGCTCTGTGACAAGCTAGGATGGGCTGTGCTTGTGGTTGGGGACGTCTGCCCTGGCCCCTCTGCACTTGCCTTTTGGGGGAGGCGGTGATCCTGAGCTGTGTGTGTTGGGGGTGGGGGTCACTGCGTCAGCCGCTGGAACCAGCCTGGGTCGCTTGTACTTACTCAAATGGGTCGCTGGGGTCGGCCTTCTGCAGTTCTGGAGGGATGGGGATCCGCTTATAGTACATCTCCCAGTCAAAGGCGCCCCGCATGGCATCCCCTGCCTGCGTCTCATACCGGAAGTCATCGTGGTCAATCACATCAATCATCGGGCACACGATGGTCTTGCGGTTCCGAGCGATGCGGTCTGAAGAAGCCAAGAGAAGCCCATTAGGGAGACAGGGTGGGGGCGCAGCTAAGCGCACAACCTGTTCTGCAGCTTATTTGCATTTTTAACATGGTCCCTGGGTGACTTCTCTGAACACTTGAGCTTGAGTATCCTGGAGAGGAAGGGAGGGCGCAGGCTTGAAGCCAGATGGACCAGGGCTCCTATCCCAGTCCTGATGCCTAAGACAAGGACACTGGGTCAGCTACATAGCTAATATCTCCAAGCCCCTGCATTCTCCTCTGGGGTTGTCAGTGAGCTGTTACCGCGGATGATGTGCCATGAGGAGCAGGTGGGCTGAGCCGGGGGCCTAGCAGCTTCGGGCCAGGAGTCAAGTCCAAGACTTGGAATGAGGAGCCTGGGAGGGTCAGAGTCAGTTGGCTGCCGCCACTGTTTACCAACCCCCCCACGCCAGCCCCCACCCCAGACCCAATGAATCAGAGTCTCTGGGGTGGAGATAGAGCAGCCTTGTGACAGGCTCTGTGGGGGCTGAAAAAGCTTCTCCAGGGAAAGAGCTAGAGAAGGGCCTCCCTTCCTAATTATTCATGCCCCCATTCAGGGGATTTCACTTCCAGGGAGGGTGTGGGTGAGGACAGAGCGCTCTATGGGGTGTGGCCAACGGTGAGAGCTATGACGTCAAGGCTGCGTCAGAGGGGCTGCGTTCGGTGCTGTGCTCACCTGCGGACAGGGCAGAACGTCCAGGTTCGAATCCTGGTTTTATCACCTACAAGCAGCAGAACCCTGGAAAAGGTTACCTGATGCCTCTGAGTCTCGGTTTCCTGGCTGACCAAATGGAGGAAGGCAGCTCCTATCTCATGGGGTCTCTGAAGGCTGAGTGGGACCATGAGGCCAAGAGGCTTAGCATGTGATCAGCACCCCCAACATCCTCCGTGACCAGGACTGCTGGAAGCAGCTCAGAAGCAGGCACTGGAAAGCTGGGCATCTCCCTCATTCTCTTTGCTGCTCAGTTTTCTCATTTGCTCAATGTAGATAATAATGCCTGGCCTGCCTGTTCTACCACATCACCATCCAATTTGAATGGGGATGTGGCCTAAAAAGCTAGGAGACTAGCAGAGTTATGATGATGATGATGATGATGACGACGACGACAATGACGACGATGATGATGGAGGAAATGATAATCAGTAGTGGTTCTCCTTTGGTGGGGCTGAATCCTGCTCACTCAGAAATGTTGCTCTCCGAAGAAGGCAGAAGGAGCAGTGTACAGAGATGTGAATGGTTTCAGAGACAAATGCCATAATGGGCTCTGTCTGCTGATCATGTCAGCAAGGCAGACTTTTAAATCTGCACCACCGGTTCACATTTCTATTGCAAAAAGGAGAAAAAGAGGGGAATGCTTCTTCCAAGTATGCCTGTGGATTATGAAAATTACCCTCATATATTTCCATAGAAATAGCTAAGGGCTCTTTAGACGACCAGCGCAGCTCCCTGCCCCACCGCTCCATTCTCTTTATGAGTCACGGAATGACCCAGCAAATGAGTTGCTCCTTCAGGACTATAAATTAGCCTATTTATGGTGAGTCTTTTTTCTTTTTTGTTCTTTTTCAGTAATGAGAGGCAGAAACAGACCTCAGACCTCTTGGCTTCATTAAATAAACAGTTTACCAGAACACTGGGGTTATAGCCTTTTCCTAACCCAGTAGGATCCTGGACCACTGGGGTCAGAAGCACATAATCTAACACTGAAGTCCCATGCTGATCTGTGTTGGGGCACACCTTGCTGGGTTATCTCACTTACCTGTGTGGAGTTTGCTTTCTGCCCTCACCTCTGAATGGTGGCCTAACCTGTGCTCCTCAAAGTGTGACCTGGGACCAGCAGCACTGGTATTGCCTGGGTGCTGGTTTGAAATGCAGTTTTGCGGGCCCCAGCCTGGACCTCTAGACTCAGGAACTTGGGGGCGGGGCCTGGCACTCCATGTTTTACCAAGTCTTTCAGGTGGTTCTTGTGCTTGCTCAAGGTCACCCTAAACCTCAGTCCTCTTTGGTCCCTCAGAATTCTGTTATAGAGAGCACACCCATCCGCCTCTGAGGAGTCCCCCTGTCTCTCTTAATTAATAACTCTTCCCCAATCTGCCTCTATTGCCGGACTCCCAGTCTCAGTGGGACACTTCCTCTTCAATGCCCAACTCTGCACCAATTCACTGCCTTTATCAAAGCTGAATTCTTCAGGGTTCAGGCCTGGCTCTCCAACCAGCTACAAAGCACCAGCATCCAGTCCTCATGCCTCCCTTCTGTCCTTGGGGCTAAGGTGGACGACTCCTGGATCGTGCTGCCCTCGTCTACAGCCCTGCCCTGACAGCTGTCAGAAACTCTCCAGAGAGGAAATGAGTTTAGGGGGGCAATGTGGAATCACAGACTTTGGAGTGAGACAGATGGTAACTATGACAGCTATGGCCTAGGGGAATAAGTGAGTCACTCAATACCTCTGACCTCCAGTTTCTTCTACTACCTTGGGTCCAAGAGGCTTACTGCGTGATCTATGCATGATGCAGATAGGTTTGACCGGCATAGTTTTGTAAGAATTAGCAATAGCGCTTGCAACCTTCCTAGCTCACAGTAGCAGCGCAGTGAGCAGTAACTGTTCTAAGTTGATATGATCATGTTCCCCCGGAGTTTGGCTCTTAATGGTACACAGGCTTAACTTTCTCGGGGACATATCATGTCACTAGAAACTAATGTGCTTTATGACTTTGGGCAAGTCCCTTGCCCTGTCTCTGAGTCTCAGCACTCTTCTCTGTAAAATGAAGAGCCAGGACGGAACGGGTTTCTAAGGTCTCTTTGAGCACTCTGAACTTCTGCACCGCCTGTGGCACCTGGCACTGTGCTGGCTGTATCTCGAGTGGGTAAGGGAACCCTTGTGGGTGACTTCCTGCAGAAGGCTGGGGCCACTGGAGGCTGGCTCATTCCAGGCTACGTACTTTGTCTTGAGAGGCTCTCTTACCGAGCAAGGGAGGGAGCCAATTGACATTGGCTTCACAGTGTGAGTCCAGGAAGGTGATGACATCCCCAATTGCTGCCGAGGCCCCTAGCATCCGGGTCCTTATCAGACCTTCCCGTTTCTTGGTTCGGAGAATCCTCACACTGGGGAAATGGGCCATGTAGTCTTCAAGTGGCTTCTTCAGGTGTTCTGGGAGGGAGAAAGAAGAAGACAGGTGGACGACGGATAAGAAGAGCTGCTTAGTAATCATTCTTGTGGCCTCCTCTCCCTTACATGTGCACTGCACTTCAGAGTTCAGACACAGCTTCCCGATACGTGGCCCCCCTGCACCTTTCAGATAGGGCCAGGAAGGGCAGGGACCACCACCTGTGTCCTGCAAAAGGGGAAACTGAAACTCACAGGGGTCCAGGGACAGCGCCAGACCTGGAACGCAGAGATCTTCTGTGAGCAGCTGTGGTTTTTGCCTGGCTGGGGACCCACTCCCACATTTTCTGGTAACAATACTCCAGTTTTTCTGTGGGGAACTGTTCCTCTCATTCTCAGCCCATCAGACTTGGGTGGGGCTGGCCCCATCCGCTGGTTCCGAGGAGAAGGAGCATGTAGCTTGGGCCTGACCAGTCAGGGCCTTCCCGCCCCTTGGCCTCAGTGATTGGTCCAGCAGATGGCCAAGTGACCTGATTTGCCCAAATAATAAATCCTGGGAGTTTTTTCAGAACTACTGAAAAAAAACAAGGCCCTTTCTTTTCGCTATAGTTAGTTATTGCTGGCCATAAGTCTGGCGCTGCTGGTGACATCCTTGGCAAAATGAGGTGATGAGCAGGAGGGTCTGCTGAGACTGAAGCCCAGGTGTAAAGAGAGAGTCAAGAGATGAAGAGAGACATTATCCTGATGACATTCTGGTTTCTCCGATCCCCCCCGTGCACGACGCAGATAGGTTTCTAGGTGCTCTTCTTACGCCTAACACCAAATTCCTCTTTTTACTTATTCTAATGTCAGCTGCATTTCTGCCCCATGTGTAAAAAACTTATTTAGAGTAAATCTGAAAAACAGTCTATTTCTACTAAATGCTGGTGTCTTTTACCTCCAGAGTTTGCATCCTTTATGAAAACTCTAGTATGAATACAAAAAACTATACATAATATTTAAGATGTATGCTTTCTCATCATTTCTAGTGTAAGAGAATTCCTAGCTAGAACAATTGGTAAGATAAATAAATAAAATGCTTAAAAATTAGAAAGAAAGAGATAGTAATGTCTTTAATTGTAAATGACATGATTGTTTACATAGAAAATCCTCAGAAATCTACAAAAACTAAACCTAATAGGTAAACTTAACATGGCTTCAGGATATAGGTCAACGTTTTCAAATCAATTATATTCCTATTTACCAGCAAATAAGAAGAACCATTGGAAAATGCAATTAAAAATGGTAAAAATATCTTTTACAATTTAATGAAAGAAGTACAAGTTGTATACTTAGAAAACTACAAAACATTGTTGAAAGGAATTAAAGACCAAAATAAATGGACAGAGAGTTCAAATTCTTGGACTGGATGACTTAATATTGTTAAAATGGTAATAATACCTCCCATATGGACCTATAGATTCATGTTTAAAATCACAACTGATATCTTTGCAGAAATTGACAATTGGCAGCTGATCCTAAGAATTATGAACATGCAAGGGATAAAGGGATCCAGAATAGCTAAAAGAATCTTTTGATTATTTGTACATGAATGTTTATAGCAACACTATTCACAAAAGCCAGATGTTGAAAATAACCCAAGTTCCTAATGCTTCATGAATGTATAAACAAATACAGAACATATCCATACAATGGACTATTACTCAGCTATAAAAAGGAATAAAGAACTAATACATGCTACATCACGGATAAATCTCAAAAACATACTAAGTAAAAGAAGCCAGACACATTGTATGATTCCATTTGTATGCAATTACAGAATCGGTAATCCGCAAGGACAGAAAGCAGATGAGTGATTAGCAGGGGCTGGGGTCAGGAGAATGGGGAGTGACTACTTAATGGACATAGGATTTCCTTTTGGGATGATAAAAATATTTTGAAACTAGATAGAAGTGATGGTTGCACAACACTGTGAACGTTCTAAATGCCAATTAATTGTATACTTGAACATGGTTAATGTTATGTGAATTTTTCCTCAATTAAAAAAATGGATAAAGGATATAAACGGCCAATAAGCAAGTGAAAAAATGCTTATCATCATTACTCACCAGGGAAATGCAAATCAAAATCACAATGGGGTACCGTACTACTTTACATCCACAAGGATTGGTATAATCCGAAAGCCAGATGATACGTGTTGACAGGGATGTGGGGAAATAAGAATCTTCGTATGTTGTTGGTGGGAATGTAAAATGGTGCAGCCAACCTTAGACAACAGTCTGGCAACTTTCTAAACAGTACAATACATTTATAACCCAGCAATTCCACTCCTAGGTATATATCTAAAAGAAATGAAAACGTATTTCCACACAAAAACTTACACACTCATGTTCACAGCAGCAATATGCATAATAGCAAAAAATTGAAAATCATCCAAATGTCCATCAAATGATGAATGGATAAACAAAATGTACAATAGTATGGCCATACAAAATAGGATGCTATTTTGCAACAAAATAGGAACAAGCTATTACAATAATATGGACGAGCCTTAAAAATATTATGTTAGGCTAAGTAAGTCAGGCACATAAGACTAGATAGTATATGATTCTATTTATGTGAGATTTCTAGAAAGGTAAAACTATAGAGAGAGAGAGGAAATCGGTGGTTTCCTGAAGCTGGGTTGGGCTGATTTCAAACAGGCACAGGGAAACTTTCTGGAGTGATGGACATATTCTCAAACTGGATTATGGTGATAGTTTCGTAACTGTATAAATTCACTTAAAAACACATTGAACTACAGACTTAAAGTGGGTGATTTTTATAGTATGTAAATTATATCGCTATGAGGCTGTTACATCCTAAAGAAAAAAAAAATCAATTGCATTTGTGTGTACTGGCAAAACACAATTGGAAAGTACAACAAAAATAGCATTTATAATAGTCTCATATATAAGAACCCAAATAAATGAAGAAATAAATAACATTTATAGATTATAAGACTCCATATGAGAGCCAGTTTTCAGCCCAGAAATAAACACACAACTTTATGATCAATTAATATTTGACAAAGGAGGCAAAAACATACAAGGGAGTAAAGATAGTCTATTCAATAAATGGTGCTGGGAAAATTGGACAGATACCTGCAAAAAAATGAAACTAGATCATCTTCCTACTCCATATACAAGAATAAACTCAAAACAGATAAAAGACTTAAATGTTAGATTGAAACCATAAAAATCCTAGGAAAAAACACAGGCAGTAAAATCGCAAACATTTCTCATAGCAATATTTTTTTCTGATATATCACCTTGGGCAAGGGAAGCAAAATATAAACAGGACTATATCAAACTAAAGGTTTTTGCACAGCAAAGGAAATCATCAACAAAATGAAAAGGCAACACACCAAATGGGAGAGCATATTTGCTAATGATACATCTGAAAAGGGGTTATTAATACCCAAAATTTACAAAGAACTCATTCAACTCAACATCAAAAAACAAACAACCCAATTAAAAAATGGGCAAAGGACCTGAATAGACACTTCTCCGAAGAGGACATACAGAGTCCAGACACATGAAAAGATGCTCAACGGCACCAATTATTAGAGAAATGCAAATTAAAACCACAATGACATATCACTTCACACTGTCAGAATGGCTCTCATCAATAAATCAACAAACAACAAGTGCTGACGAGGATGTGGAGAAAAGGGAACCCTTGTGCACTGCTGGTGGGAACGCAGGCTGGTGCAGCCACTGTGAAGGCAGTATGGAGTTGTCTCAAAGAATTACAAATGGAATTGTCTTATGATTCAGCGATCCCCCTTCTGGGAATATATCCAAAGAAACCCAAAACATTACTTTGAAAGAATATATGCATTCTTATGTTCACTGCCGCCTATTTACAAGAGCCAAAATTTGGAAGCAGCCCCAGGGTCCCTCAGTAGATGAGTGGATAGCAAAGCTGTGGTACGTTTACCCAATGGAATACTACCAGACATAAAAAAGAAGAAATCTTACCTATTGCAGCAGTGCGAATGGACCTGGAAAGTATGAAGCTAAGTGAAGTAAGCCAGCCAGAGAAAAACAAGTACTGTGTGACTGCTCCTATATGTGGAATCTAATGAACAACAACAAAAAAACTAACGAACAGAATAGAAACAGACTCATAGATACAAAAAAGAGACTGACAGTTGCCAGAGAGGAGGGGTGTTGGGGGGCTGGGTTAAAAAAGGTGAAGGGATTAAGCAAAGAAAAACAAATTTAGACAACAGATTACCAGAGGGGAAGGCGGTGGGGGGAGGTAAAAGAGTATAAAGGGGGGATAAATAGTGATGGAAGGAGACTTGGGATGGTGAACACACAATACAGTGTACAGATGATGTATTACGGAACTGTACACTTGAAACCTATATAACTTTATCAACCAATGTCACTAATAAATTCAATAAAAATAATAAAAGAGCCAGACCTCAAACTGATCTATAAATTCAACGCAACCCCAATAAAATCACAGCAGACTTTAAAAAAAAATTGACACCTTGGTTCTAAGATTTCCATGGAAATGCAAAGAACCTAGAGTTGTCTAAACAATCTTGAAAAAGAAAAATAAAGTTCAAGGACTGACACTGATTTCAGAAACTTATTATTGTAAGGCCCAAACAACCAAACTAGTGTGGTACCGGCAAAGAATAAACAAAGGAAAGGAGTCAAAAGAACACAATGGAGGGACCAGCAGTAGACCCACATATACATGTTGTTGAGTGATTTTTGACAAAGGCACGAAGACAATTCAATGAGGAATTAAAAGAAATTTCAACAACTTCTGCTAGAGCACCTGGGTACAAGTATGAAAAAAGGTAAACCTCAACCGCCTACCTCATACCATATACAAAAAATAATTATAGATGGATCATAGACTTAAACATAAAGGCTAAAGCTATAAATCTTCCTGAAGAAAATACAGATTATCATTGTGAACTTGGGGTAGGAAAGAATTTCTTAGGACATAAAAGCACTAATTTATAAAAAAATGATAGTCCT